ATTGCATATTTCAGAAATTTATAGATCTACAAAAATCTCAAAATTTCCAAAAAATGATAAAAAAAAACTCTCCAAAGAAAACCTAAGGAGATAATAAAACTCTCACTAAGAAATTTTAGGAGAGAAGATCTCTCACTAGGAAACTTTAGCAGAGTATTTATTCAAATAAAAGAAACTAAAAATTAAAGAAAGACTAGATTGTCTCTTTCCCATGGGAAAGATGACTGAGTGGTTGCTTGGAAGAATTCTACGTTGGAGGAAGAGAAGGATCCTAGAGAGGAGGAGGAGAAGATAATTCTGCAAGAACCAGAACAATCCAAAAATTGTTAGGTGCACATCTCTCTCAAGGGTGGATTAGTCAATAATTTCGGTGCTTTGATTGTGAACCATTAACGAGTAATAAAAACTGTTTGATAATCTTCTTAAGCGGCTAAACCCTACGGCTTTCTGCTTGGATTCGAGTTTGGCGTGTACAATAACAAACTTTAAAAAAATACTCCTTAAAACAACTCCATATGCATAGAAGAGAATTTCGTCGTCTTGGTCCCTAAACATTTTCACTGAAACCAATTTCGTCTTCAATGAATTATTTTAACCAATTCACCTTACCCAAATTTCAAGTAATTGATTGGTTTAGAAAAACAAGAAAAAAAATAATTGAATAGAGAAGAAGAAGAATGGTATTGCTATTTCTTTCTTCTTCTTCTTCTGAAATTGCATTTCTTTCTTCCGTGTTATACATGTTTATTGGACACAAAAGTGATCATTATCAGACTAATTTGACTTTGAATTTTGAAACTGTCAGATTTGCATCAATTTAGACTCCAATAATCTATCTGCAGCTTCCAACAACTTGCCTCAAATACGTAAACAGAGGATGCAGTAAACCAAACCATGCACGTGTATTGACTAGACCTTGAAGTGGACATCATTAACATTTGGCTGTGAAAATCATCTGGTCTCTTTGTCAGAACACCAACTTAGCATGTATACGTCTTGGGAATCCAGTCAAACTGAATCCTGTATTGAGGTTCTTCTCTTCTCAAGTTCGCACCTTTTTTTTCTTTTCATATCTCATACTACTTCCTATGATTTTGTTACAAACTTTTCAGAAAGAACGTAAACAACCAACTCAGCTAAATTAGCCGGCTACCGCGGACTTGAGTGTAGGTAAGGGGTTTCAAACCTCTTACCTGCGTTTTCTTTTCTGTCTAGGAACGTTTTTGAAAATATAGTTTAGTTTCTTCGGAATATTTGATACCATAGTTCGGTCCATTCCCCTCTCTCCCTCCTCCCCTCCCCTAGTATATGTAGGACCAATTATAAAAACATTGTACTAAAAAGAAAAGACACAAACAGAATCATGTTCAAACAATCATGTGGCCTTGTTTGGATTGTGATTTTTCGTCCGAAAATTACGTCGTTTTCCGTGATCACATTTCCCAATTACCTTTTTTCCTCACATACATCAAATCGCTACAGTAATTTTTCCATGAAAAATCATGAAAAATGCAATCCAAACACAAGTTTCAATTTCAACAACTTGTCCAAGAATCTTAATTCGATTTATGTTACCAAAGAAAAGCTATTAACCAAATAAATGAACTTGGCTCCATCTATATGTTTTTTAATACAATATATATACATAAAACTATCGTATTCATTGCAATCCTCACATAAATGGAGACTGAAAATAGAGAGGGAAGCATCTGTGTAGGTTTTCTCTCATACTTTGGTGCTCGTTGTAATTCATGATTTGTAATCAATCATCATTGGATTTGAGCCCTTTATTTATGCTGACATTAGGGGTCCGTTTGTTTCGGGTGAAAATGTTTTTCAGGAAAATATTTTCCTAATTTCCCGTGTTTGGTTGCACAAAAGTTGCTGAAAACATTTTCCTATGTAAAATATTTTCACTCATCTTATGGAAAACAACTTCCCTTCCAAACTTACTGAAGTTGTTTTCCGAAATGCATGCATCCCGCCTGTAGTATGTTCCAAACTTACTGAAAACATCTTGTAGTATGTTCTTTTTTTTTTTTAGTGTAAACAGGAGGACTCGAACCCAAGACCTCTTCCTTACACTCCATCCCCGTACCACCCAACCCAACCCTCCCCCTAGTATATTCAAAATAAAAAAAAACCTCATCCTGCTCATCCTATACTAATAATTAATTATGTATAATAGGGACATTCTTTTCTAGAGAAACTTTCAGCAGTGAGAGTGCAAGATATATGTCACAATAAGCATTGCATGTGAGTGATATTTGACACTAAATGGCCAGTAATTTGTTTATTGCTTAAGGAGATATTTTTTATTCATATATACATTTCTCCAAGATTTTTTAAAGTTAAACAATGAGATAAATTTTCTTATTTTGCATGGGAAGAAGTATGTAGTTATAATGTGTAGAAAGTAAAGATAGAGATAAAAGTGAAAATATTTCAAAAGTTAAACAAACACCAGAAAAATGAAGTAAGAAAATATTTTCAATAAGCTAACCAAACACCTGAAAATGATGAAAGGGAAATGATTTTCATGAAAAATTACTTCCACGGAAAATATTTTCCCAAGGAAAACATTTTACTTCCAACCAAACAGACCCTAGGAGTTAACTGGTATAGACCCAGTTAACATTACATGTAAATATATACTATTATAGCTCTTAATCTTACCCCAAAAAAAAAAAAAAGGAAAAACAGACTATTGGGTTCACACATATTAAAAACAATAGACATACTAAATCTCGGCATCGCGAACAATGCATTTATCTAAATTGCCCTTTGGTTGCTCAATCTCAAAAAGAAAAGACATTATCATCAACATTACAAAAATTCGTGCTAATTAATGACTTTGCTAATTTCATATTATGTGATGATTCACCAGAGTAAAAAAAAAAAAAAAAAACTCTCCTTTTTGTTTGGTTTCCAATACATACAAAGAAGAAGGCTTATCATTATTTATTGGCGTAGCGTAAATGCAAGGTTCCCCCAAGTCGATTCATACTTCATACATGTAATCGCTTTTAATCAAAACAAATCTGCTCATCTATATTCTCTATTATCAAGTGCAATATCAAACCATGCTTTGCATGTTTGCTATATCTTCTAGCGATTAAGGTAGCAAGAGTGTAAAACAATGTTTTCAATAGGATTTAATACGGTATCATTGTTTTCTGGATTTGTCTAGCCCCAAGTGTAGTATTTGTAGTATGTGTATAAAAATTTATAAAAAAAATCGTAAGTGTGTGTGTGTGTGTTTTGGGAGGAGGGGGAGGTTAGGTCGAGTACCCCGTAGGTTATTAATATTGTGATGCTAATCCGCCCTACATATAAGTAGGTACACAACTCTTTTTTGATTTGATTAAATAATGTGGATCAAACACCCTATTTTTTGGATCGGATCGAATAGAATATGGCGTCTTTTCGAGTTAACGAGTATTTTTGTACACCCCTACTGTTAACGTTATTTCCTTTTTGTGGCTAAGCTAGTATAGTATCTAACTGTACCACATGATTGGAAATGCTGCTGAACCTCCTCGGGAGTACAAGCATAATCAACCTGAAAGTTGAGATTCGTCAAAAGCCATATTCATTATACAACTGCAGTTCAAGAAATCTGAAAAGGTGGTGGATCCAGGTGACTGAAAATGTGGTAAAAAAAAATTAGCAGAAACTTAATAGCTTTAACATTTACCCCTTGACTAGGCTGAAATTCTGACAAAATGAATGGTACAATACATAAATCATAATCAAGGAAACTCTAGATCAAAATCAACCTCAAAGCCATTGCACAAAATCAGCAACAACTTCTCCATAATCACCATAACCAACCACAGGAACATTAAATACAACATCCAGACACTAGTCTTTACACTAAATCATCTATGCCCAAAGAAGCAAGCAGCGGAATTTCAGGTTCCTTGGTTTTGACATGCTAACGACCTTATTTGTTCTACTAAAACAAGTTCCCAGGATGGATCAAGCAAACTCCACCTAGAGAAAAAAAAAAGATGAAACCCAAAAAAAAAAAGTTTCAAAGGGAAAAAATAACACTAGACTAAATCCCACCACATACTGCCATACTATGACTTTTAATACTCGTACTGAATTTGATACCAAAGCACTCATCAATTAAAAGATCTGGAGGTTTGATCCTAAGTAAATTAATCTTAATAAGAATTTAGGAACATTAACGAAATACTAATAAGAGAAGAAGGAACTTGGTAAAATTGGTCCACTGTTTTATTTTCATTGAGAAGATTCTGAATTATTTGCTAGCTTCATGTAATTATCAGCATCATAAGCAAGGTAAGAAATTCCAAAGGTAGAAATTCAAACTTCAATGATTAATTGCATTACGTTTTCCAAACAACAAAAGATTAAAAAGAAGAAGAAGAAGCTATTCCACTTAAATAGGTATGGAACTCCACGCACAAAATCAGCACTATATCATAGTACTGGGAAAATTTTTCCAAAGTCAATGATTGCCACTCCACTGCAATAATGCGAAAGATTTATAGACAACCTTTTGTAAGCGAACGGTCACTAAAGAAGTACAGCATATATCTGCGCCGCAACAACATGGGAAGGAAACATTTCTCAAAGGGTTCTTGAACATTGATCTTGGCAATTGCAGGATAACAATATCATATAGCTGTAGGCAAGTAATGACACCTCACCACATCAGGCTAAACACCCAACAACATGAGGTAACAAGGTCCACCACCAGCCAGCAGCAATCAAACTCAGCAAGTAGAATTTGCATTCCAACCACTAGACTTGGCTCTTTCAAATATGTGGATATGTCTTCCAAGAGGGTAGCCAAAAAACTCAAACCTCTAGATGTTACATAGGTCAACATCCATTTCAGCCTCCAACAGAAAACACATGTAGCAAGAAGTACACATACTCCTTCCTAAAAAAATAAAATTTCATATCATTTGCAAACTTCCCTTCATCTCAGTCCCCCATTCATCATCTTTTTTCAATGTATTCTCTTTTTTCCCTTCAATTTTTTACCTTTTTCCCCTCACAACTATTCTTACAATTGGCTTTTTCATTTTATGGGGAGATTCACAACTATTTATTTTGTATCTTCCATTTTTTTTCCTTTTTCACCCTCTCTTTTTTTGTTCAATCTTTTGTCTTTTTTCCACATACTTTTTTGGATTACAATTTCTTCAAATTAAAAAATGCAAGTACATTAACATCTATGTAAAAGTGCCTACTGAAAACCAGATGTGCTCTCTTTTCACCATCAAAATACAGGATAATAATTCCAGCTCTAATTCAGAATAAGAATGACCCTGCGATATAATCAAAGTCAAACATGACTCTCAATAATATCTAAATCCAAAACCAAGGTCACATTGAAAAGAAGGAAGGGACATCAAACCAAAGAAGAAATGAAGGAAGAACATTACTAAGAAGACCCAAATATCAAGTCACCGTTATAGAAAAAATTGAAAAAGTAGAAATTCAATGAAGGTAAATACAATGTTAGCAGCTCTATCCCAAAGTGAAATAATAAAGAAAGCACAAGATTGTTAATGTTTCTTAAGTAACTCAAAGACCAAACCCAAGAAGACAAATATTATAATAATAATAATTTCCTTTTCCTTCTCCGTTTACTTATTTATTTTGGCAGAGGAGAAGGGAGTGTTGAGTGTAGTAAAAACAGAACAACTTCCTGCATAAATTACAAACAAAATGCCACACCTTTAACCAAGAATGGCTTGGTTTGAACTCAACATAGTAGTCTTGCACTTGTTTTCTTAGTACTTTGACACTGCCTCAGACAGTGTCACCTCAGCCACAAAAATGTTACATTCCAGTTCTATACTAATATCGAATTTAGTCCTTTATGCAAAAAAGGATGGCCAATGCTGCATATTATCCACCATACATAACCGGGAAAGAAGCACCTATTCAGCATAAGTTCTATTGTACATGAACAGACATGTCCCATCATATGTAAAATATCATAATCTAGAAGAATTAGTTTCCTCAATCAGTCAACGAATAGTAATGCAGCAAGGGACTGCAGTACTTGACTGATGACATAACTAGGTAATAAGATCTTGAATCATCATCAAATAAACTAAGAAATTGGAAACTTGAGATAACTCCAAACAACATCATTCACCCAGGGGATAATGGGACACGTAAATTAAATGTAAATAAATTATCATTCATTATGCTACTCAAAAGTAAATCTACAGAAACTAATTCAATAACAACAAATTTTGTTCTCACATTGCCAACGAATATAGATCGTGAATCAACTTCCTCCTTGTTTGCTTGAGAAGCAGCTGCACTAGCTGGATCTGTCAATCCATTTTGAACTTACTATTAGATCAGTCTGAGAAAAGGAAGCTTAATAAGAGCAAAAACTAAAAAGTAACCATCAGGGCAAAGAGTTGATTCTCAGAATGTATTAAAAGGCAACAAATTTTAGTAAAGATGATACGGAGTAATTTGCACGCAAAACACAGAACAAGAAAGACTGAAAAGCCAGTTTGCGTCAAATTAGGGAAAAAGGAATGTGCATGTATTAATGGCCATGACTCAATTTGAAGAAGCCTCTTCCCAAAGAACACAACCTTTCCCCGCCCACCAGCCCCCCCCCCCAAAAAAAAAAAACAAAAACCCAGCGGTCCCCACCCCAAATTTCTTTCATAACCAACTTCAAGTCAGCAGTCAGAATGTTTGGTACAATAAAAGATATATATAACCAAAATCCTGAGCAAGCAATACTTGCATATAAAAGGTGAACCCATGATAGTGAATGGCTCTGGATGGCTACGGATTTGATGCTTAAAACATGATGATCTTTTACCATTCAAACCTTGATCAACCAATTCAAGTAATGCATCAAGGACTTCAGAATGATTACCATCACTTGAGGCACTAGCGCCAAGCTATAAAATTTTAACTGAGAAATTTAGAAATTACTACACTACAGAAAACCACCCAGCACCCAAAAAAGAAGAGAAAGAATGAAAAATAAGTATGTGACAAGTTCTCAATAGCTCCAAGCCTATAACAAGCATACGCCAATAACAAAGACACAATTATTTCAAGCTCCACGAGAGCAGAATCAGTGAATTTACAGTACTACCCAAAAAAACCGTAACTCTTCAAATTTCTATATATAAACTTTTCCACATTGTTTCAGCTTTAGCATGCATAAGACAATAACAAATTTGCAAAACAAAAGCTGTAAACAAATCAGTACTTGCTAAATTCTCTTTTAACTACTATAACGCTTAAAATTCTAGTTTTTCACACAAAAACAAGAAAAAAGATTAAAAAGAAAAGCTTTCTCCCAAAGATTTCAGCTTTATTAAGCATAAGGTATTAGTCAACCAACAATAACTTTACCCCAAAATTCAGCCGCTATCGAAAGGAAAAATCTTATCATACGACATCTACCACTTCCGATGCAGTAAAAACCTTCGATAAAAGCAAAACCATTCCATATATGCGCAGCGCTCATAAAACACTAGCGCTGATGCAATCGTATAAATAAATAAAAAGAAATAAGCGCATAAATTATACACCTTGAACAGCACCCATCTCCTTCTCAACTTTAGCTTGCATCTCGCGAAGAGCTGCTGCTTCTTCTTCCATCTCTTTCAATCGCTTCTTCATCTCATCCAATTCCTACAAAACCCTAACCCAAATCAATTATCCAGATCCAAACCCACAACAACAATCAGGGCAGAAAGAAAACCTTTAAAATAAAAAAAAGGAGAAAGTCATAGAGAGAGAGCAGAGAGTACCTTAACGGCGTCGTCGTCGGCGGTGGACATGTCGACATCGCCGCTGTTAGGGTCCAAATCGCCTTCCATTTCCCCTTCGTCGGGGATTTCACCACCGTACACCTCGTGCTCTTCTTCCTCCATCTCTCTCTTTCTCCTTCTCGTTCTCTCCCAGTCCCTCGTTCTCTTCCGAAGTGATGTCTGGTCTCACGCGCCCTACTTCTATCAATACAGGCACGCACAATAAGTGAGGTGAAACGATGTCGTCCTCTTGTGGGGACCTGTGGGCCAGAATTAGTTAATAGCACTGGGCCACCTCCGAAGACCTAATTTGGATCTGTTGGGAAGTCGTGGCCCAAATGTAGCAAAGATATACCGGATTTTCCTCTATTTGGTATATTGTACCGTGTTTTGTTTTGAACTGGATTAAATACCCAAAAAAATAAATTTTCGTTCTTAAGATTTAGATTTTTCATAAGTCTTGATATCCAAATTATCAATCCATTTATATATCTTTTACAAGGATAAAATTATAAAAACTAATAATGCTAGTAGTTATTTTGCTTTTTTTTTTGTGTCCTTAGCTTTGAACCTTTGGTTCCATAGAGGAAACTTAGAGGCTTTTGAGTTCTTGCTTTATTAATAAGCAAAATGCTTCAATGGCTCCCAAATGATTATATAGTTCAATTTTGACCCTCTAATTATTAACTAGATAATTTTAACCCTCTAACTAATTAAAACGTATACTCGTACCCATTCCAACAACTTGAGTCGTTATGTCTAATAGAAACAGCATCACGCGCAAGATACAACGCATAATCAAAGGACCTTTTCGTCTACATAGGATATGTGCAAGACACTTACTGTGGAGTTTGTCACTGCTGTTCTACTTTTTCCTCAAAAACTTACCGGAAAACAAGCAGTATCACATCTAACCTTGCTGGAGTTGCCTTTCTCTCTCCCACACACCAAAATACAATTCACACACCGAAATTCTAATGAAATTACTACAAAACAGCATAAGAGAAAAAAATAAAGTAAAATAAAAATTACCTCCCAAAATTTGTCCTTCTACTCTCCGATGAATTCATAGGCTCCAGCCAACTTTGGACTGGTTGGGATTTTTTCCATACGTAAAGGTGAATCAGTTTGCCCCTTTTTCACCAAGATTTTCTCTTTGGTCATTTTTTCAAACAATTTAAGAGCATAAAAAAAGATTAGCAAGTCAAACATGCTAATCAAGAGCAACGAAAAGCAATTGGCATGTGATTCATATAAACCTCAAAAACTATGAAAAGGAAATTTGAAATAGAAGGGGGAAAAGCCTATAGTATATAGTGCTATTCTGATGATGGTTCGACAAGTGGTGGTGAATTCCAACGGCAATAGAGATAGCTACAACTCCTGCGTCTTAGCTCTTCCGTCTTCCTTTGGTCTTTTTTCTTTTTTTGGCTCTTTGTTCTAGTTTTTCTTTTCTCGATTTTTTCTTTTTCAATTTAGATGGAATTTAAGAGATTAAAATTCAGATTTGGAGGACTTTTGGAGTTCATTTTTTTTGGTCATATGAAGGGCCAAAGGCCCTTTACAATGTCACTAAAATGGGGGGTAGCAGCCCCTATTATATCATTAGCTAGTGATTATGCCCTAACCACATAAAGCGGTGCTATGAAGATCAGCATTCTTGCCCTTAAAGATGGGCCATACATTTTTATAATTGAAGTTTAGAGGAAGATGCAAAGTGGAAGTGGAGGTCTCAAAGCTGTTGATGATGAAGTTATATGATGATGATTCTCAATGATAAGAGAAATGTACGAGGGGGGTTGTCTCTTGACACTTCTATTCCTCATCCCCGTAAAACACTAATGATACACATACATATACGTAGAAAAATCTAAACCATAAACACACTAGAAGTTATACATATTGCTAGGCAGAATACCAAACTAGTATGGGTATCAAATGGTTATTTATTTTGCCAAAAAAAAAAAAAGAGTTCAGGTCCCCTCCCGCTCCCCACTTCTAAAATCCCACCCTTTCCCTGCTAAAAAGAAGAACCAAGAAAAAAAGGGTCATTGGTAATAGTGAAAATGGAATATATTACATAGATTAATGGCAACATAAACAAAAAGGCGTGAATGCATAGTTCACGTACAGTTCACCATTAAGAAACTTGTACCATTAACTCAAAGGACAGGAGTTCTTGAATTAAGAGCCAGAAGACATAGATACAGCCATGACATACTCGTATTGGAATAAGTTTTGAAGATCTGGATGCTTGGAATGAAGTAGCAGCACCTCATCTTAGTTTACAAGGGAAGTGAAGGACTACTGAGGTATCAAGGGAGAAACGGATTTGGAATCATAGCTTCCAATAACAACTGGATTTCAGACCTTCCTTATGAGAATGAATAACCTCTGATCAAGCTCAAATTTAGAGGCAACAGAAAGATCCCCCCTCAACATCATCAGAAGTCCACCAAAGGAAGCCAATATCTCCCTGAAAGCCAGCCAGAAATCCGAGTGACATCAGGTAGAAGTGCGAAAGAACAATGCTTAACTTGCTAAAAGATTGTAATAAAAAAGTTCACAAACTACTTACTATACAACATATTAACTGGTACTTATCCATGCCATTTATATCATTATATGCAAAAAAAAAACACCCATATTTTGGAACAATCCATCCATTTACCCATTTAATTATGAATTCATATCGTATACGCAGTTGATTCCGACGGTTCTCTGATAAGCAAATCTGGATTTATGCACGTCTATGAAATATATATGCGAACAATATACACTGATTGAACATAGAAAAATATCTTCATATATACAGCGTATTGTAGATCAATCCATTTATTTATGTTGTTTAGAATAGTGTCAATCTTATTATTTTTCATCTTAAGTCATACTAACACCATTTTAAGGATTGTGACCAGATATTAAAAAGATACACATTGTCCTAATATTTATATTTAACTGGCTAATCTTTATATTTAGCTGATTAATCTTTATATGTAGCTTTTTCCCTTGGACTTTGCATCCCTCTTCCTTCATGCTCCCATTTCCCAAGCAGGTAAAATGTCATTAAAGAGGCAACAACATAGATTAATGAACAGGAACAGAAATAAAGGCAACATCAAGTAATTATTCCGTATAACCACTGGACAAGTTATGAGACATACGCTCTACGTTTCTTTTTTTCCTCGGATATTTTGTACAGCTTCCCTTGCATGACATATTCATATCTGTCTGCAAGTGATTTCCTACCACCCTGAAATCAAAAGTACAAGGTCATAAATCAAATATTTCTTGTATTGCAGTATCGCATGAATGACAATCAAGAAGAATGAAAGCTTTGTAAGGATTTCAATAAAAATTATTAAACTTGAAGCAGGTATATTAAGCATCAGTTCCGCTCCAAAGGCAAATTAGTAAACAGTACACAGGATCATATTGAAGTCATTACAGGTATAATTTCCTTGCACAAAGATGTCATCAGGCAGTTCCACATATAACTGAAACTATTGCAACCATTAAGAAGGATAAAAGGAGTTGTAATATTTGTACAAAACAAGAAACAACTTATCCATTCAATTCAACCAAGCAAACACAAAGAAGAGAAAAATCATGTATTTTGTAAGATTGTTAAACAGAACATCTTATCTAATCAGAAAATCTTATCTAATCAAGCGTTGCAAACCAGGATATTTCCCTTTTGGATAACATAAGAGTTAAACTATAACTGAAAGTTGAATTATAGAAAATTTTCCTGGAACGACCCAACTCTTGTGTTGTGAAGCCTCAAAGAGATCTACCCAAAAAAAAAAAAAAAAACGCTAGACTAGAAGGGTTTAGATCCAAAGAAACTTCAATCTAGATGATTGATTTATGAATAATTAGGCACTTGCGCCACCTACCCCAAGATCTAGGGGAAAAAAATATGAGTAAAACATTTCAGGTAGAAAGCTAGTCTTGAGCCACAGAGTAAAATTGTCCAAAGCTATACGAAGAACCTTTCTGCACAGCATGCAAAACCTAAACCTCCAACAATTCAAATTCAGGCTATTCAGCTATTTAATAGAATTTTGCCACTTGTTTGGACCCAAAACCATTTGAAAGCATTTAGTCCAATAGTGGGAATTAAAACTATTTGCAATTTAGCATTCGACAGCACAAGAAGTTGAACACAATTAAAAGAGCAAGATGCAATAACTTAGTAAGGAGCAGAGGCCCCCAAATTCAACACAAGTCACCACCCACCAAGAGCATAGATCTGCAGTCAGGACCTAGTACAGGAAATGTAATTTTAAAGCAGGAATAGATGGACAATAAATTACAGAAAGATTACCTGCACGAAATAACCACTATCTGGTGTTCCATCCAAGTTCAAAGTTGATGCTAATCCCATTAAGAACTTGTCACCCACGCGCATTGGGTAGATGTCTGTATTAATATCAAGATGCATGTACATGTCCAACTGCTCACTCTTAGCCACAATGCGATTAACTACATGAACATGATTGGCAGTTAGAATAAGAGAATTTCATAATCCATAAGCATGTCATAAGTTTTGTGAACATGTCATGCAACACTAAGTCCTGATCAGCAGGAAATCCTATCCTTATAAGAAGTATCAAGCCCTATGTCATTGTTACCATGGCTGTGAATTTAACAGCACAGATCTGACTTAATCCACCGGAAAATCTATTTATGGGGTAAACATATCAGACGTGTGAGCTGCATTGAGATGACAGCAGAATCTGATTGTGTGTATATTGGAACTAGCAACATTTCTAAAGATATATAAGCAAGTTGAAATCATGATAGGACTGAACCTTACCCTTTTTTTTTTCCAGAAAACGTCCAAAATTAATTAATAGCAAGTAGGTTAATATCAACTCCAACTAAAAATAGATATATCACCTCCTTTTTTGCTTCCACCTTTTATGTGGATATCCTTATACACAAACACAAGGAATATCAGTTCTGTTATAACAACAACATGGGGGTGCATAAATGAGCCAGAAGTGAAGTTACTTGCAAGGAAAATGAATTTTGTCTAGAAAAAGGTTCTCCATGTCACACGTGGAAGTAAAGAAGGGTCCACCACTAAAGCAATCTTCCGCAACCATGAAATACTAAATTGTTTTCTGGACGAACTTTTTTACGAGTCTAGCGCTACTCTACGTTTAATTCCAAAAGAATCTCTACATCTTCAATCCAGTTAAAAGCATCCA